ATGTACGTTCTTTCGTCCATCCACAAATGCTTTGTCGTCTCTGAAAAGGGTGTAGCGCGGGTCGTATCTACGGTAGGAAGCCAGTTTCAAGAATTGAAATAGGTGATGGGTCGGGAACACCATTGGTGGGTGAAAGAACATTATCACAGCTGATTAGATCTGATAATAAGAAGCTATGTTAAGCGAGGGTTTGCCAGATCAAAACCACGCGTGGCAGCAATACTAGGAAGTCAGTCTCAAAAGAAGATGTATAATTGTATACGGGACGAAAACGACATCGGTGAATGACAGAACTTTATCGCAGCTAAAAAGATGCGATGAAAGGGTATGGAAGCTGAGGGTTGCGAACTTGAAACTACGTGTGGCAGCAGCACTAGGAAACTGTTCTAACAGGTGCAATAGGTGATGGGTCGAGAAGACCATCGATGAGTGACAGACCCTTATCGCACCTGACAATATCCGATATAAGGATATGAAAGGGGAGGTTCGTCAACAAAGTGCACGTGGCAACGTGGCAGCAACAGTAGGACGTCAATTACGAAAGGAGTATGTGGGACGAAAACACCACGGATATGTGACGGAAAGGGGTAGTCACCGATAGGACTGATAAGGGACGCTGTCGCCATCGTCGCTATTGTAGGCTGCAGTGCTTTCACAGTGCCAAATTATGAGGGTTAAGGGGTGTAGTGTTCGATGACAGGTGACAAGCAATGATATCAGTTGATGGGAATAGTCAAAAGGTTATCGCCACTACACTCCAGCGAATAGAGTTAAAAAGGTCACGGTCGCATGGCAGAATCTCTTGGCGTTCGTCCAGAAGGATGCAGTGGTGTATGGTATCGTGTGCAGTATTTTGAAAATTTCGATGGTGAAAATGCCCAATCAGAATCCAATGAAGTGTAAGTTATATTGCCTCTGAAGTCGAGGAAGAGAATTGTCTTTTGGGCCTACTTCCCGTGCACTGTTGCCTCTGTGGAGATTGAAACCCTGAAACTTCCTGTGCATACATAACGCGAGTTGTCGAACAGGGGAGTGTAATGGCATAATGCGCTTATGGAACGGATAAATTCAACATATTTCCTCGGAGCTAGCTGCAGTTGCTGCTATGTTTCAAACATGGATAATACGTACGATGTGCTTCCTCGCTATTCTTCGCTAAAAGAAGAGATGGCCTGAGTTGCTCAGTACGGTAATATGGTCTATGGAAAGCTACACACCCCTGTGGGATGCACGACTTGACATGAACAAAACGCGAACACGTTCGCTCTTTCAAAATCGCCCAATGGTCCACAATTGTGCCCTCTTGGGATATATGAGGGCGTCGTATGCACATTGCCTAACTTCAACCAGTCGGATCACCCGGCTGCTGCTGGGTGCTCCTCCCTCTGAGTCAGGTCCCGCAAAGCTAGGCCAGCCTCCCCTCGTCAGGCACTCTTCCTTTGGGCGCGATCGAATGCGCTAAAAGTGCCGTTGGCGTTATTTTTTCCTTGAAATAAGAAGGAAATGATTTGAAAATGGCCTAACATCAGTCATTATCTGCCAACATCTATTCCCTGTTGCTTACTACACCGTGAGAAGGCTGCACCATATCATTACGGACTGCAGTTGCGACATCAGAACGGGTAAGTTGAATTAGTCCGGATGAGTCTCTAACACCCGGGAGAGGCATACGGAGTAGTGAGTGGCACTGAAAAGGAGAACTTCACACATGGACATGTCGAAGTGCGTGTCGCACGGAGAGCTCGAACGTTGCGACCAACAGGACGTCCTCACTCCCAATTGTGTTTCTTCCTTTATTTTGCTTCAGTTGCGACCGCCACCTCCTAACACTCACATAGCAGGCAGATTTGATTCAGATACTTTTTGATTGATGAATTTATCGATTTTCCCGCTTCAGCCGTCTTATACACCCCCCCTGCTCCACACCATCGCATGCATCTAAAAGCATATCTTTCAATGAACGACCTTGATCTATTGTCATCAAAGGCAAGAGTTTACACACTGAGCCTGCAGTACTCGGCATTATAGCGGTAAGATGTGATAAAAATGCAGCGCGAGAGTACCTCATCTGTTTTCATCTATTGATAAGATTACCTGTCACCATCAATATCCTTATTAGTAAAGGTTTATAATTTGGTCGTGTAAAAGTTGCAAGCTAGAAAGCGCGACGCTTGCAACGTCTCTCATCACCACCTGTCACCCGCCGTTCATGTCCCCATCTCCCACTCTATGTCAGTTTCTGAGATCAACGCCTAGCTAATGCTATGTCTCGAGTCAGGAGTAGTGGTTCCCATGTAGGCTCTTCTATGAATCTTAATCGTGCTGCTAGCACTTCTTGTTACCCACCCATGATAATCGTGTGCCATAGCCTACACCATACCTTGGAACTAACGTCCCATTGTTGCTGTGACCCATGCTATGGAATCTGCGCCCATCCGTTCTGGCGTCTCTTTTCTGATCAGCCGATATCACTCCATGTCACCCATCAATAAAGTTTCCTTCACAGCCTCTTTATCACTGCTTGACTCATAACTTCCTACAAGTCCTACTGGACGGGAGCTATTACATTCGTGACACGTCAGGCGGACCGCACAGCACACATCGATCGAACATCATCCATCACTGAACAGACCGACTACTTAGCGGTTATATATATAGTAGGGTCTTTTCCCATCTCACTAGAACGATAGCGATCAAATGGTCTTGTTGTCTTGAGGCGATCACGACCGAAAGAGTGCAATTAGCGAGATGTATTTCGTTTTGGAAGGTGATGCGCAACACGAATTTATTTGCATTTTACCTTACTGTTTTTCTAACAGCCCTGATCTTTCGAAGAAGATGAGTGCCTGGCTGGCCAGTTGGATTGCCCAGCTGTCGCCGGGCCCGCACACAAGAAGGGGAGCGTTCGGCGACAGCACGCAATCCAACTGGTTCACGGATAAGTGGAGGAACCCAGCATGGTAAAATAAACAGGAATTGGTCAGCGAAGTTGTCTCAAATAGTGTTTTGATAAGGTGAAGCATGAACGCAATTTGAGAGAAAAAGAATGAAACTCTGCTATAATCTAAATTTTACAGAGAAAAAATTCAGTTTGAGCTCTGCTTTCGAGCAGGATGCGCGAGGCGAGAAAGCTCATGCTTGTATCAGCTCGTTTTTGGTCACTTGGTCACGATTCGCTGGAAGCAGGGAGTTTTCGCCTGATAGGAAGCAGGGTGTTGCCTTCAACGCGCGACGAAAAACAATTCCTAGTTTCTATGTAAAGCCTTCGGGAAGCACTCCCTGTCACCCGCGTGCGAAACCGGCGATCACTCGCAAATGTCCATCTTCTACCCTGCGCAATCCCTTTCTCAGTCCCTCAGACACAACAACAACAACAAACGAGCGCGCGAAGCTCTCGGATAAGCTCTCTGCACCGAACCAGCACATCCATCGGGTCCGCCGCCCACGTGAACCCCTCACCTGTCTTTTTGTCCTTAGCTGATTGTAAAGAGAATGTCAAAATGGGGCAAGAACATTCATCTTGCTTTACCAAAATCATAGAGCTCCGCGTTTCGCAAGGTGTGAAGGAGGGAATAAGAAGATGTGACATTGCATTGTAAGTCCTGTGCAGAAAGCTTGTGATGCAACGTTTTGTTTCAGATGGCAAACTTCGCGTCTCAACTAGCACAAGAGATGGGAATAACAAACTTGGCTGTTGTGTCATTGGCGTGCCCAGCACAAATACTCATCAATATGGATTCTTACAATCGCAGATTGTTCGAGTGAATAATTTTATCTTTCTGATGTTCAGCCTCTGTCCTGCAATGGCGGGGTCTGCTCTTCCGATATAATGACGCCACTTCTTCCGACTAAATGCCTTATCGGAGTGAATGGAGTGAATGCTGCTTTTTTTCGAGTTCGTAAGTAGCCTGTCGCGCCAGCGCTATTCAAGACGCTCTTTTGATCGCTTCCCGTATCCTCTAGCAGCTACAGACCATTGGAAACACGGCTGTCCACAGTTCACGAATTGGCTTAAGTGCGGATAGATAGTTGGCCAAGTGAGGATAGATAACCGGCTAAGTGCAGTAGTGGTTGATGAGCAGAAGTTGAAATCCAGCCGTCCGCGTCGAGCGATGTCTCGCGTCTCCCTTCCGTGTCCGCCCATATCGTCCTCATCATCTGGGATCATAAGATCAAAACGCATAACGATGACGCACTGCTTCTACCCTTACACAACCTTCACACAAAGCACATGACCGTACCACCGAAGGTGCACTTTGTCAGCTATAGGGCTACACCATAGTTCTTGCGCATGATATCGTTGATCATAGTCCGATCGCGTGACGCTCGCTGTCCAACACAGCATTTTAACCTCCATCAAGTGAGGCGCGCTTCAACCTCTTTGTTAGCGGGCCAACGCTCAGCACCACCTGTTTGACCGGTCGAAAGATAGCTGCATAGAAT